TTTCTGTCTCTCTTTCTGTCTCTCTCTTTCTGTCTCTCTTTCTGTCTCTCTCTTTCTGTCTCTCTTTCTTTCTCTCTGTCTTTCTTTCTCTCTGTCTTTCTTCTCTCTGTCTTTCTTTCTCTCTGTCTTTCTTTCTCTCTCTCTCTTTCTTTCTTTCTTTCTCTCTCTCTCTTTCTTTCTCTCTCTCTCTTTCTTTCTCTCTGTCTTTCTTTCTTTCTTTCTCTCTCTCTCTTTCTTTCTCTCTCTCTCTTTCTTTCTCTCTTTCTTTCTTTCTTTCTTTCTCTCTCTCTCTTTCTTTCTCTCTGTCTTTCTTTCTTTCTTTCTCTCTCTCTCTTTCTTTCTCTCTGTCTTTCTTTCTTTCTCTCTGTCTTTCTTTCTTTCTTTCTCTCTCTCTCTTTCTTTCTCTCTGTCTTTCTTTCTTTCTCTCTGTCTTTCTTTCTTTCTCTCTGTCTTTCTTTCTTTCTTTCTCTCTCTCTCTTTCTTTCTCTCTGTCTTTCTTTCTTTCTCTCTGTCTTTCTTTCTTTCTTCTCTCTCTCTCTCTTTCTTTCTCTCTGTCTTTCTTTCTTTCTCTCTCTCTCTTTCTTTCTCTCTGTCTTTCTTTTCTTTCTTTCTCTCTCTCTCTTTCTTTCTCTCTGTCTTCTTTCTTTCTCTCTCTCTTTCTTTCTTTCTGTCTGTCTCTCTGTCTCTCTCTCTGTCTCTCTTTCTTTCTTTCCTCTTTCTTTCTTTCTGTCTCTCTTTATTTCTTTCTCTCTCTTTCTTTCTGTCTCTGTCTCTTTGTCTCTCTCTCTTTAATTCTTTCTCTCTTTCTTTCGCTGTATTTCTAATCTTGGCTTTCCATTCTAGCTTTAGAATAAAAAAAAGCAGCAGTAGAAACGTTCAGAGCGACTGGGGAGTGCAAAAAACCCCAAAACGGCAATGATTTTAGGAAAACTATTTCCTCCATGGGAGCCTGAAATTTTCTACAGCTGCAGGTAACCTAGAGCTTTTATTTCTTCTTCTATATAGATTATACTTTATACTCTATTTATACATCGCCCCCTGCCGTCTGCATGGGCGCACTGCAGGCACAGCGCCCCCTGCCGTCTGCTTTGCCGCACTGCAGGCACAGCGCCCCCTGCCGTCTGCCTGGCGCACTGCAGGCAGAGCGCCCCCTGCCGTTTTCTTTGGCGCACTGCAGGCAGAGCGCCCCCTGCCGTTTTCTTTGGCGCACTGCAGGCACAACGCCCCCTGCTGTCTGCATGGGCGCACTGCAGGCAGAGCGCCCCTGCCGTTTGCTTTGGCGCACTACAGGCACAGCGCCCCCTGCCGTCTGCATCGGCGCACTGCAGGCAGAGTGCCGCCTAATGACGTCAGCCCGTCGACACGGCGCCCCGCCCAGGACACGCCCACTCGGGCGGCCCTCGCCATCTTGTACGGCACCCCGTGTCGGCCAGGGCGCCGCCAGCCTGTACGGCACAATTTTACGGCAGTCGCGCTTTACGGCACAATTTTACGGCAGTCGAGATTTACGACACTTTTACGACAGTAGCGCTTGATGACACCTTTTACCACAGTCGAGCTTTACGGCACCTTTTGCGACAGTCGCGCTTTACGGCACCTTTTACGACAGTCGCGCTTTACGGCACCCTTTGCGACAGTCGCGCTTTACGGCACCTTTTACGACAGTCGCGCTTTACGGCAGTCTTTACGACAGTCGCGCTTTACGGCAGCTTTTACGACAGTCGCGCTTTACGGCACCTTTTGCGACAGTCGCGCTTTACGGCACCTTTTACGACAGTCGCGCTTTACGGCAGTTTTACGACAGTCGCGCTTTACGACACCTTTTGCGACAGTCGCGCTTTACGGCAGCTTTTACGACAGTCGCGCTTTACGACACCTTTTGCGACAGTCGCGCTTTACGACACCTTTTGCGACAGTCGCGCTTTACGGCAGCTTTTACGACAGTCGCGCTTTACGGCACCTTTTGCGACAGTCGCGCTTTACGGCACCTTTTGCGACAGTCGCGCTTTACGGCAGTCTTTACGACAGTCGCGCTTTACGGCAGTCTTTACGACAGTCGCGCTTTACGGCAGCTTTTACGACAGTCGCGCTTTACGGCACCTTTTGCGACAGTCGCGCTTTACGGCACCTTTTACGACAGTCGCGCTTTACGGCACCTTTTGCGACAGTCGCGCTTTACGGCACCTTTTACGACAGTCGCGCTTTACGGCACCTTTTACGACAGTCGCGCTTTACGGCAGTTTACGACAGTCGCGCTTTACGACACCTTTTGCGACAGTCGCGCATAACGGCAGCTTTTACGACAGTCGCGCTTTACGGCGCCTTTTGCGACAGTCGCGCTTTACGGCAGCTTTTACGACAGTCGCGCTTTACGGCACCTTTTGCGACAGTCGCGCTTTACGGCAGCTTTACGACAGTCGCGCTTTACGGCACCTTTTACGACAGTCGCGCTTTACGGCACCTTTTGCGACAGTCGCGCTTTACGGCGCCTTTTGCGACAGTCGCGCTTTACGGCAGCTTTTACGACAGTCGCGCTTTACGGCAGCTTTTACGACAGTCGCGCTTTACGGCACCTTTTGCGACAGTTGCGCTTTACGGCACCTTTTGCGACAGTCGCGCTTTACGGCGCCTTTTGCGACAGTCGCGCTTTACGGCACTTTTACGACAGTCGCGCTTTACGGCAGTTTTACGACAGTCGCGCTTTATGGCATTACCCTTTATGGAAGTTTTATGGTACTTTACAGCACTTTACGGTTTTTATTTTGTTTTTAATCTATTTTTATTTTTAATTAATTTTTTTTAACTTAATGTTTATTTTTAATTTTTCAAGCTTTTATTTTTCTCATTCTATTTTTTATTTACTTATTATTTTTAATTTTTCTATTTCTAAAGCTTTTTATTTTATTTCTTAAATTTTATTTTTTATTTAATTTTTAATTTTTATTTTTTTAAAGCTTTTTTTTTTTAATTTAATTTTTAAAAAATTTTTATTTTTTTAGGGCTTTAATTTTATTTTTTAATTTTATTTTTATTTTTCAATTTTTAAAACACATTTTATTTTTCTAGTTATATTTTTTATTTAATTTTTATTTTTAATTTTTCTATTTATAAGGAATTTATTTTATTTTTTTATTTTATTTTTGATTAAATTTATATTTTTTTCTATTTTTAAAGTTTTAATTTTTTTTTATTTAGTGCTGCCCAGACCAACTCAAGCTGGTGATTGTGGTGGTGTTTGAGGGTCTTGCATTACGGCACTACCTTTTATGGAACTCTTACAGCACTTTACAGTTTTTATTTTGTTTTTCATTTATTTTAAATTCATTTTGTTTTTTTACTTTTATTTAATTTTTATTTTTAATTTTTCTATTTTTAAAGCATTTTTATTTTATTTTTTAATTTTATTTTTTATTTACTTATTATTTTTAATTTTTCTATATTTAACGTTTTTATTTTATTTTTTATTTTTTAAATTTACTTACTATTTTTAATTTTTCTATTTCTAAAGATTTTTATTTTTTTATTTTTTTAAGTTTAAACTTTTCTATTTTTAAAGCATTTATTTTTTTATTTTTATTTTTTATTTAATTTTTACTTTTAATTTTTTTATTTTTAGAGCTTTAATTTTATTTTTTAATTTTATTTTTTATTTTTCTATTTTTAAAGCTTTTATTTTATTTTTCTAATTTTATTTTTTATTTTTAATTTTTCTATTTTTAAAGCATTTATTTTATAATTTTTATTTTTCTATTTTTAAAGCTTTTATTTTATTTTTCTTATTTTATTTTTTATTTTTTATTTTTAATTTTTCTATTTTTAAAGTTTTTATTTAATTTTTATTTTTTATTTTTTATTTTTCTATTTTTAAAGCTTTTATTTTATTTTTCTAATTTTATTTTTTATTTATTTTTTATTTTTAATTTTTCTATTTTTAAAGGTTTTTATTTTTTTTTTTATTTAGTGCTGCCCAGACCAACTCAAGCTGGTGATTGTGGTTGTGTTTGAGGGTCTTGCATTACGGCACTACCTTTTATGGAACTCTTACAGCACTTTACAGTTTTTATTTTGTTTTTCATTTATTTTAAATTCATTTTGTTTTTTTACTTTTATTTAATTTTTATTTTTAATTTTTCTATTTTTAAAGCATTTTATTACATTTCATTTGGTGCTGCCCAAACCTGCTGTAGTGCATTTTTATACTTTATAATACTTTGAAGTCATTTTGTTTTGTATCCCCATATTTTTCCCAAATGGTTTATCCCAAACTGTACCCCCCTCCCTTTACCTGTGTTATCCCTCTCCCGGGATGAGATCATCCCCAAACCCCCACCCTGGCTCTCTGTCAATGACTCAGCCTCCCATCCCCTCCATGCAGAAGTTTCGGTCCAAGTCATCCAGTGATTAGCCAGAGGCCAGGGGTCAGCCCCCCGAGCCTTGCCCCATACGCTGTCCTGTATGTCTATGCCCCAGCATCCATCCCTTAGGGTCACTTACTGGTTGGTAAAATGTTATCTACTTTCGGTTTCCACCTCCCTTTAAATGTAACCTTGGCACATCTCCCTGGGGCTTGGCAGGAGGCCCCTGAGGTGCAGGAGCTCCTTTGGGACTCCTAATAAAACCTTGGATTAACCCCTGCTAAGAGTCAGCCCTTTATCATCTACCGCTGTCTCTGGTGTCTCTTGTGCTGCACAGGGGCCCAGCCCAGGTGCCCTCAGCACCCTCGGGGCACAGAGAGTGTCTCCCCCCAGCCCAGGTGCCCTCAGTACCCTCGGGGCACACACAGAGAGTGTCTCCCCCCAGCCCAGGTGCCCGCAGTACCCTCGGGGCACAGACAGTGTCTCCCCGCTCTCGGCCGTGTCAGGGCTGCCCCCCGGTGTCTGCCGACTCGGGACCGGCCGAGGGTTACTGAGAGGCTCGCACAAACCCGCTCGGCTGCTGATTGTGGCGGTGTTTGAGGGTCCCCAGGACGAGGGAAGAGACGAGAATCTTGACTCCACCTCTCAGAAGGCTGAAATATTATTTTATGATCTCTATTATATTAAAAGAAAATGAGATAGTAGAACTATACTAAAAGAGCAAGGAGACATCAGAAAGCTGGAAAGGAATGAATAATAAAAACCTGGGACTGCTCACAGCCCCGACGCAGCTGGACCATGATTGGTCATCAAGTAGACACTGCACAGGAGACTAATCCAAGATGCCCCTGTTGCTAAACCATCTCCAGCCCACACTCCACAGCCAGCAGATCGTAATTGGTTCCATTTCTGTTCTGAGGCTTCTCAGGAGAAAAATCCCAGCAAAAGGATTTTCATCAAACACGTCAGTGCCAGGTGATGGCACAGGCAGCATCGGCCGGCCGAGGTCACTGTGTCATCCCTGCCAGCCCAGGTGTCACAGCAAGGAGGAGAGAGTTCACCCTGTGCTCACCCTGCAATACAGAGCAATACAACACACATATTAACACAAGATGATAACCTTTTTCTATTTTCCTTACATGTGGATTTATTGTTATAGGAAACCCAAAACAACAAAAGCACACAAAAAACAACACTCATCTACAATTAACACCCCCTTCAGATGACACACGAAGTCACCATCCCTCTCATCACAACTGCTAAATTACACCCCAGCAATCATTGGTCCTCGGGAACGTGGTTCCCGGAAGCCTCAAAAAAATCTTCCTGCCTGACAAAAACCCCGGTCCCTGGACAGTCCGCGCCCAAACTCTGGTGATGAACGTCACCTCACAGACCGACTGGGACCGAGGAAAAAAAAACAGCTGGCGGGGGGGAAACCCAGCTGGGGATTTTTTATTCTAAATTTAAAAATGAGTTGAAAAACTTGAAAAGCAAAAGTCACACACACAAGGTTAAATCCAGTAATCCAGTCGGCATGTGCTGACACATGCAGAGATGAGCAGACGCAGACAGACACATGCTCTCACACATGCTCACACGCTCTTCCCACTTACACGCTCGCTGCGGCCCTTACTCGAGACGCTGAAGAACGTGCTGCGACACATCTTCTGGCTGCGCTCCTTGACGTCAGTTGGTAGGTTCTGGGGAAATCGGTAGCCTTGGGGACCTGTGAGACGACAGGAAGCGGTCAACGAGTGGCTATCTGACAGCTAGGACTTGTCTCCACTCTGAACCAATAAGTTTTCTACCCAAAATCCCATAAAAGACAGATGAACAGTAAAGTTTTTATAACTCTTCTACCTGACTGTGACTACGTGCCCGGGCAGGGCAGCTCCAACCATAAGTGGTACAATATAAGTACACACAACAATGTAAGTCGATGCATACAGTGCAAGTGTACATAGAGGGTAGGTACATACAGTATAAGTCAGCACAGGTACACGCAATATAAGCCAGGACTTGAGATAACTCGCTGGAAGATGAATTCTTGAGTCCTATACCCTTCAGAAGATGGAACCTATAGAAGTACTGCAGTCACATGAGGAGGGTGCAAGACACTCCCTCTAGCAGTCCAAGAAAATGGCATGGAAAAAAAGGCACTACCAAAGCTGGTAGTGAGAAGGAAGATGGATGAGAACATCTTGTCCGTTTGAGACATTCCTGTCTCAAAGAGTAAAAATGTAAAGATGCCAGAATAAGGGATATCCAGAAAGGAACGTGAGTAGAATACAGCCTATACGGCACAGAATAGTGCCAATAAAGCATTGAGACGTAACAAAGGCCTATGACGTGGAAGACAACGGACAACACAGACACGGACAACACAGACACGGACAACACAGACACGGACAACACAGACACGGACAACACAGACACGGACAACACAGACACGGGTGACATAACACAGAGACAAGTGGCAACTGCCTGGCACTGTCCCCTTAGGCACCCGAGATGCCTAGCGCAAGATGTGCCAGAGGCTGATGATGCCAAAGGAGAGGAAGCCCTATGACAATAGCACGTGATGATGAAATGTAACTCGTTAAAAGAAGTTAGTGCCACAGCAGTTAAGAGGATGCTCGAGAGGCTCAGCAAGCCTAGAGAAGGAAGCCGACGGCCAGGTGACCGTGGCTATAGCTCCGGACGTGAAGGCGAGCTCCTCGGGGGAAAGATCCGTGACGACGTCGGGCCGAGGAAGGCGGACGATGCAAAGTTCACGAGAATCCTGAGATGGGTCGGAACTGCCCTGCCCGGCAAAGGCTCTGGTCAGGCTGAGGAGAAATCCTCTCCCTTTTCTTCCAGAGAGCTGGTCCCACTACAGACCTCTCCGCTAAGCTGACATCAAATTGCCCTCTGTGATAGTAAAGGTTTTTCCCCTTCTCCCAACTGCTGGCCCCGACACTTAGCTTTTGGAAAAGGAGCAGACAAAATCCATCCTTGGTCCGACGTGGATGTTGAAACATGCTCCGTGTGTGCCTCGGTGCTGTCGTTTCCAACCTTTGGCTACGAGGCTCCTAAGGGTACCTAAGACAAAACAGAAAAGGTGACTATTGCCGTCAAAAACAGTAATCCCCGGGACTCCTCCGCACCCCTGCCCCGGCTCACCTCAAATCTTGATTTGACTCCAGAGGGTGCCCAGAAGATACCTGCAAAAAGAATAGGTACACACTTAGCATGCTGCTGTGTAACACTCACCTATGAGTCAGCCTGCCTAAACACCGACTCACCTGCCCTCCTCTGTTCCTTGGCATGCCTAGGGCAGCGACCGCACCTGCAAAGAAACAAAGCAGAAAAGCATGCTGAGAAACTGCGAAAACACAACCTCCCAAATCTGACAAGGATGCCACTCTGATACCTTAAGCTGCACACAGCTGGAATGGGCATGCCCGGCCAGGATAGATGGCAAGTGGACCACCTAAAATAAAAAGTGGAGATGCTAAGAGCTGCACCAGAAACTGAGACATCAGCAAAAACAACTGCTTCTGTACACTACTCAATGCTCACCTCGCCCACTTGGCCTTGACTTCCTAAAAAGAGAGACAAAGAAGACTGCTCTAACAGCCATCATTTATGCTCTCTCTACAGAGACAAACAGTGACTAACCTGCTCGGGGGAATCCCCTCACCCGGGATGAGGGGCTCTGCCCTGGATTTCATCCTTCTGCACCTGAAAGAAAGGACAAAAATCAAAGAGCTGCAGGATAACTTAAGAGCTCCAGACATCTTGTGCCCATCTACAAATCCCACCTAGAGTCCAACGACACCCCACATTACAAACATCAAGTCCCCGGGACTTCTCCTATTGCACCAGGCTATGCAGCAAGGCAGAGCAGCTCCAGCACAAATGTGTGCAGACACCCGTGACACAGGACAGGACAAACAACGGGGACACAACAGGAACAGAAATCTCTGGGTAAGGAAAATGACAGCGAGCACCGAGAGGACGCAAAATTAGAGGACTGAGGTGAAACTGATGGCGTGCTGATGAAGTTCAGAGAACCCTGGAGGAACAAGATGCTAACTGAATTATTTATTCCAAGAACTGCAAAGATGGATGCCCGAGAATCCTACGGTCAGAAGCCTCTACCTGTCCCCACATTCTTACAAGTCCTAATCCATCATAACAGAACCTTGCAGGGTGCAGCTGTCCATACAGCTCAGAACAAGACCTGAAAAGACATCTGACCGGATGCTTCGAAAAAGAGTTGCCATTCTGATACCTGTCTGAGCTGCCGAGTTAAAAGTTCCATGGCATCGGCGCCAGGGCAAGGAACGCTGAGAGTACAGATACTAAGACTGATGCCAAGGTTTCTGACAGGCCCCTCAAAGGGCTATGATAAAAGACATGAGATATCCAACAACACATAATACACAAAAGACAAGTGACACAATACACACTGGGACTGCTCTGCCCCGCTCACCTCAGCACTGGGATCAAAAGTGAGATTTTGCTTTTATGGGGCCTAAGGGCCACTTCATGGACACTCCTCACCTCCAAAGCGGACTCAAATCCCCCCCTCCCAGTAATTCCCAAACCAGCACCCTGCTTTCATCCCCCCTGGGGGTCATGGCCCTCTACTTCTCTCTCAGACATCTGGGGATGCTGGTCTCAGGTGCAAAGAAAGGCCACCTCGCCAGCTGGGAAGGTCCTGCTGGCACCGGGCTGGTGTCTCTTAGACAGCTGTATTAAAGAAAACCAAACATCAATGCCTGATCGTGGCACCACATCGGCCAAAACCCCGCAAGTCTGCTACTCACCGTGCTCCTAAGAACGCTCAGCTGCTCGGGCCGCACGCTTCGGGCACGCTCGGAGACCGAGGCCGTCGCCACAGGGGACGCCTGGGTTCAGAGGAGATGAGGTGATTTGGCACAGCTGAAACCTGAGTGGACCCTCGCTCTTCCCCCCTACTTCCCTGACTCACCACAACTCCTCAGCACTTGCTGGAGGCCACCTGGATGGCACCTTTAAATAGAAAAGTTCAGGGCTTCATCACCAAGTCCTGTAATGCATCCACAGGGCTCACACATGCAGGGAACCCGGTGCATCGGCCGGCTGGTGACAGGGGCTTGGCATACTCCGAGTGGATTGCCTAAAGTGCACAAAGGAGAACGGAAGCTTAGAGCTGCACCACAAATTGAGACCTGAGCAATAACAACTACTGCTCTCCACTGCTCACCTTGACAGCTGGTATCCACATTTGCTTCCTAAAAAGAAAGACAAAGAACAGTGCTGTAACAGAGTCACCATATACACTTCTGCTGCAGAGACAAACGGTGCCTCACCTGCTTGGGGGAAACCCCTCACCCGGGATGGGGCCCTCTGGCACACATTTAATCCATCTGAATCTGAAAAAAAAGTTAGGACAAGAGTCAAACTGTTGCAGGATAACTTAGGAGCTCCAGACGTCTTGTGTCCATCTACAAATCCCATCTAGAGTCCCACTACACCCCACATTACAAACTCCCGGGGACTTCTCCTACTGCACCAGGCTATGCGGCAGGGCAGAGCAGCTCCGGCACAAATGTGTGTGCTGACACCCGTGACACGGGACGGGACGTGACAGACAGGGGGGACACAACAGGAACAGAAAGCTCCTGGCAAAGAAAGTGGCTGCAAGGACTCAGAGAATGCAAAAGGAGGTGACCAAGATGAGACAGATGGCAAACTGATGAGGCTCAGAGAACCCTGGAGGAAGATGCTGGCTGAATGATTTATTCCAAGAACTGCAAAGATGGATACCCAGGAATCCTACAGTCAGAATCCTCTCCCTAACCTCGCATTCTTACAAAGCCTAATCCGTTGAAATGGAGCATTGCGGAGCACGGCTGTCCGTGCAGCTCAGAACAAGACCTGAAAAGCCACCTGACTGGATGCTTCCAAAGAGAGATGCAATTCTGATGCCTGTTGGAGCTCCCCAGGCAAAGGTTGTATGGCTTGGGCACCAGGCTGAGGAACACTGAGATCACAGATTCTAAGTATGGCGCCAAGGTTTCTGACAGGCCCTTCAAAGGCCTAAAGATAAGAGACATGAGATACCCAAACATCACATAATACACGAAAGACAAGGGACATGATACACACCGGGACTGCTCTGCCCTGCACACCTCAGCACTGTGATCAAAAGGTGAGACTTTCCTTTTACATGGCCTAAGGGGCCACATCTTGGCTACCCTCATCTCCAGAGACAACTCAACCCCCTCCCCCCCAGGAGCCCCAACCCAGCACCCTGCTTTCATCCCCTCTGTGGGTCGTAGCCCTTGACTTATCTCTTGGACATATGGAAATCCCAGTCCATGTCAGGTGCGAAGGAAGGCCGCCTTGTCAGCTGGGAAGGTCCTGCTGGCACCGGGCCGTTGTCTCTTAGACAGCTATATCAAAGGAAACCAAACATCAATGCCTGATCGTGGCACCACATTGGCCAAAACCCCACAAGTCTGCTACTCACCGTTCTCCTAAGAAGGCCCGGCTCCTCGGGTCGCACGCTCCGGCCACGCTCGGAGGCCGATGCCATCGTCGTGGGGTGCGCCTGGGTTAAGAGGACAGGAGGTGACGTGGCATTGCTGAAACCTGAGTGGGCCCTCGCTCCTCCTCCCTACTTCCCTGACTCACCGCAACTCCTCGGCGGTTCCTGACGGCTGCCCGGAACGCGGGGCTCGCGAGAGCGGCAAACCCGGTCCGTCGGCCAGCTGGGGATGGGAGCTTGGCGTGCTCCGAGCAGATGGCCTAAGGCACAAAAACGAGAATGGAGACTTAGACTTGCCCCAGGAATTGAGACCTCAGCAACAAGAAAGGCTACTGCTCACCTTACCCTCTTGAACTTGACTGCTGAGATCCAGCTATACTTCCTAAAAATAAGGACAAAGAACAGCGCTGTAACAGGGTCACACTTGACACATCCCCTGCACAGACAAATGGTGACTGACCCGCTATGGGGAACCCCCTCACCCGGGATGGGGTGCTCTGCCATGGATGCAATGCATCTGCACCTGCAAGAGAGTTAGAACATATGTCAAACACCTGCAGGATGACTCAAAAGCTGCAAACACCTTATATCAATCTAGGAACAGCATCTAGAGTCCAAGTACACCCCACATGAAAAATTTCAACTCCCCAGGGCTTGTCCTATTACAAAAGGCTATGCAGCAGGGCAGAGCAGCTCCGGCACAAATATGTGCAGACACCTGTGACACAGGACAGACAGGACACGACAAACAATGGGCACACAACACAGACAGAAATCTCTTGGCAAAAAGGATTACTGCGAGCAACGACAGGATGCCAAATGAGATGACTGAGGTGAGACTGATGGCAAGCTGATGTGGCTCAGAAAACACTGAAGGAAGAAGATGCTAACTGAATGATTTATTCCAAGAACTGCAAAGATGGATGCCCGAGAATCCTACGGTCAGAAGCCTCTACCTGTCCTCACATTCTTTCAAGTCCTAATCTGCCATAATGGATCCTGGCAGGGCATAGCTGTCCATACAGCTCAGAACAAGACCTGAAAAGACATCTGACTGGATGCTTCCAAAGAGAGATGCAATTCTGATACATGTCTGAGCTCCCCAGGCAAAGGTTGTATGGCATGGGTGCCAGGCCAAGAAATGCAGAGATCACAGAGGATAAGAACAATGCCAAGGTTTCTGACAGGCCCCTGAAAAGGCTAAGGTAAGAGACATGAGATACCCAAACAACACACAAGGCACAATAGACAAGGGACATCATACACACCGGGACTGCTCTGCCCTGCGCACCTCAGCACTGGGATCAAAAGTGAGATTTTGCTTTTATGGGGCCTAAGGGGCCACTTCATGGACACCCCCCCACCTCCAAAGCGGACTCAAAAACCCATCCCAGTAATTCCCAAACCAGCACCCTGCTTTCATCCCCCCTGGGGCTCGTAGCCCTCTACTTCTCTCTCAGACATCTGGGGATGCCGGTCTCAGGTGCAAAGCAAGGCCACCTCGTCAACTGGGAAGGTCCTGCTGGCACCGGGCTGGTGTCTCTTAGACAGCTGTATTAAAGAAAACCAAACATCAATGCCTGATCGTGGCACCACATCGGCCAAAACCCCACAAGTCTGCTACTCACCGTGCTCCTAAGAACGCTCAGCTGCTCGGGCCACACGCTTCAGGCACGCTCAGAGACCGAGGCCGTCGCCACAGGGGACGCCTGGGTTCAGAGGAGATGAGGTGATTTGGCACAGCTGAAACCTGAGTGGACCCTCGCTCCTCCCCCCTACTTCCCTGACTCACCACAACTCCTCAGCACTTGCTGGAGGCCACCTGGATGGCACCTTTAAATAGAAAAGTTCAGGGCTTCATCACCAAGTCCTGTAATGCATCCACAGGGCTCACACATGCAGGGAACCCGGTGCATCGGCCAGCTGGTGACAGGGGCTTGGCATACTCCGAGTGGATTGCCTAAAGTGCACAAATGAGAATGGAAGCTTAGAGCTGCACCACAAATTGAGACCTGAGCAATAACAACTACTGCTCACCTTGACAGCTGGTATCCACATTTGCTTCCTAAAAAGAAAGACAAAGAACAGTGCTGTAACAGAGTCACCATATACACTTCTGCTGCAGAGACAAACGGTGCCTCACCTGCTTGGGGGAAACCCCTCACCCGGGATGGGGCCCTCTGGCACACATTTAATCCATCTGAATCTGAAAAAAAAGTTAGGACAAGAGTCAAACTGTTGCAGGATAACTTAGGAGCTCCAGACGTCTTGTGTCCATCTACAAATCCCATCTAGAGTCCCACTACACCCCACATTACAAACTCCCAGGGACTTCTCCTACTGCACCAGGCTATGCGGCAGGGCAGAGCAGCTCCGGCACAAATGTGTGTGCTGACACCCGTGACACGGGACAGGACGTGACAGACAGGGGGGACACAACAGGAACAGAAAGCTCCTGGCAAGGAAAGTGGCTGCAAGGACTCAGAGAATGCAAAAGGAGATGACCAAGATGAGACAGATGGCAAACTGATGAGGCTCAGAGAACCCTGGAGGAAGATGCTGGCTGAACGATTTATTCCAAGAACTGCAAAGATGGATACCCAGGAATCCTACGGTCAGAATCCTCTCCCTAACCTCGCATTCTTACAAAGCCTAATCTGTTGAAATGGAGCATTGCTGAGCACGGCTGTCCGTGCAGCTCAGAACAAGACCTGAAAAGCCACCTGACTGGATGCTTCCAAAGAGAGATGCAATTCTGATGCCTGTTGGAGCTCCCGAGTCAAAAGTTCAATGGCCTGGGTACCAGGCCAAGGAATGTAGAGATTAAAGATGCTAACAATGATGCCAGGGTTTCTGCTAGGCTCCTCAAAGGCCTAAAGTAAAGGACAT